AGAAGCGATCAAAAATCACAGCTTGTACTAAATGATCTAATTCGCTCATCAACACCTAGATGGTTCTATTTCGTAATATGTCAGTCAATGATGATATTTGTGCATCATGTGTGATGTTAGTCTTTACTGTGTTTTATGGAGGCGTAAAACCGTCACCCAAAAGGTTAACAAAAGTTACGTCGAAGATGAGCGTTAAACTGATAGCGCAAAGTTAAAACTTTGAGCTGAGAACTTGTAGTATTTAGACCATACTGCTTCTTTATTGGTTACTAATTACTGAGGTATGTAGAAACCATAATAACAGCTCTTGCTTACTGTTTACATGATGTGAGTTATTCCACAAAGTGATGGTGACTTTCCGGTTGTTGTTAGCATGACGTCATCAATGCCCGTTCCAGACGGGAACTGATGGTCATCGCCGGCGACATCAACCATATTGTGCTTCACCGGGGAAGAGATCTAGCCACTGATATCACAAGACGTCTTCTTCGTCAAGCACAGGTGGGGCTGAGTTCATGCCTGACTCAACTGTGATTTATGTGTTTCCATGTTTTGAGATTGTCTTGCACAGGGTAGGGAGCGTGGTTGTAATATTGGGAGTATGTGAGAAATGTGGAACAACTAACATTTGACAACTTATTGGGTTTGTCTACCACTAATAGACCTACATTCCAGGAGAAATGCCGAACAACTACGACTACAACAACCACAACTACCACAACAACAACTACGACTACGACTACGACAAACCCGATTACTGGTACAGTATATCTCCTAAAATTACCTACAAAACCGACTGTGAAACAGAAGATTATAGAAAAGTATCCAATAGAATAAAAGGGTGTGGAAGTCTTTCCAAGCAATTCTCAAAATAGACGTTTGGGAATATGCGCTTCTGGGTCAAATGTCCACTTTACATTTACTTTGGCCGCGATACTTGATAGTTACTCTGCTATTACTTATGTACAAGAGTTTCTGTAGCATTGACAGTGAAATTCGAGCAA